ACTGGGGAGCATTTTTTTCATTTATTCAGTTTTTCATTGGTTACAAAGGTTACAGTGAGTGGTTACACTTGTTACAAAGTGATTAGTTCTTATCTTCATTTGTAACCAGTGACACAGCTTCTGATGAACAGGTCAGCATTTTTCATTTATTCAGTTATTAATTTGTTACACTGGTTACAATGGTTACATCTGTATATACAAATTCCCACTTGTGTTTAAGATGATTTGTCACCAAAAGAAAATAGTTGTAACCAGTGTAACCTAAAAATAAAGACCCCTTTCGGTTTTAGATGATCTGAGCTTCTGATGAACAGGTCAGCATTTTTCATTTATTCAGTTATTAATTGGTTACACTGGTTTTGGTTTTAGATGATCTGTAACCATTGTAACTGATTGTCACCAAAGGAATATAGTTGTAACCAGTGTAACCTAAAAATAAAGACCCCTTTCAGTTTCAGATGATCTGTAACCATTGTAACCAATTGTCACCAAAGGAATATAGTTGTAACCAGTGTAACCTAAAAACCAGAAGTCTCTGATGAGACTGTAGCTCTACTGGTCTGTTTGTATAACAAAAGAAAAGTAGCACTTGGATTTGAAACATTGCAACATGCAACAATAAATAGAATTATGAATCTTAATGTAGTCTACTTTTGTGACAAGTTATATTGAAATCAAATGAAAACTAGGAGTAGTAGCGTTTTGAAAGTATTGTACAGAAATTTCTATTTTTAGTAACCATGACAACACCATTCACCCAAATAAAAAAAAACCCAGAAATACATATTATGTATCGTAGTGTATTCTAACTGTGTGCCAAATTAGATTGAAATCAGACCAAAATTGTAGGAGGAGTAACGTTTTAAAGAAATTTCAAAGAAATTTCTATTTTAAGTAACCATGGCAACACTGTTCATTGAATTCAAAAACCAATGCAATAAATTATGTATCTTAGTATAGTCTTCTTGTATGCCTAATTATATTAGAAGTAGACTTAAACTGTAGCAGGAGTAGTGTTTTAAAGGAATTTCACAGAAATTTCTATTTTTAGTAACCATGGCAACACCGTCCATTGAATTCAAAAACCGATGCAATAAATTATGTATCTTAGTGTAGTCTACTTGTGTGCCAAGTTATATTGAAATCGGACCAAAACTGTAGGAGGAGTAGCGTTTTAAAGGAATTTCACAGAAATTTCTATTTTTAGTAACCATGGCAACACCGTCCATCGAAATCAAAAACCGATGCACTAAATTATGTATCTTAGTGTATTCTACTTGTGTGCCAAGTTATATTGAAATCGAACCAAAACTGTAGGAGGAGTAGCGTTTTAAAGGAATTTCACAGAAATTTCTATTTTTAGTAACCATGGCAACACTGTCCATCGAAATCAAAAACCGATGCACTAAATTATGTATCTTAGTGTAGTCTACTTGTGTGCCAAGTTATATTGAAATCGAACCAAAACTGTAGGAGGAGTAGCGTTTTAAAGGAATTTCACAGAAATTTCTATTTTTAGTAACCATGGCAACACCGTCCATCAAAATCAAAAATCGATGCACTAAATTATGTATCTTAGTGTAGTCTACTTGTGTGCCAAGTTATATTGAAATCGGACCAAAACTGTAGGAGGAGTAGCGTTTTAAAGGAATTTCACAGAAATTTCTATTTTTAGTAACCATGGCAACACCGTCCATCGAAATCAAAAACCGATGCACTAAATTATGTATCTTAGTGTAGTCTACTTGTGTGCCAAGTTATATTGAAATCGGACCAAAACTGTAGGAGGAGTAGCGTTTTAAAGGAATTTCACAGAAATTTCTATTTTTAGTAACCATGGCAACACCGTCCATCGAAATCAAAAATCGATGCACTAAATTATGTATCTTAGTGTAGTCTACTTGTGTGCCAAGTTATATTGAAATCGGACCAAAACTGTAGGAGGAGTAGCGTTTTAAAGGAATTTCACAGAAATTTCTATTTTTAGTAACCATGGCAACACCGTCCATCGAAATCAAAAACCGATGCACTAAATTATGTATCTTAGTGTAGTCTACTTGTGTGCCAAGTTATATTGAAATCCGACCAAAACTGTAGGAGGAGTAGCGTTTTAAAGGAATTTCACAGAAATTTCTATTTTTAGTAACCATGGCAACACCGTCCATCGAAATCAAAAACCGATGCACTAAATTATGTATCTTAGTGAAGTCTACTTGTGTGCCAAGTTATATTGAAATCGGACCAAAACTGTAGGAGGAGTAGCGTTTTGAAAAATTGTTTACAGACAGACGGACAGACAGACAGACAGACAGACAGACAGACGGACGGACGACGGACACCTTACTATCGCATAAGCTCTTCTGGTCTCTGACCAGTAGAGCTAATAAAGACCCCTTTCAGTTTCAGATGATCTGTAACCATTGTAACTGATTGTCACCAAAGGAATATAGTTGTAACCAGTGTAACCTAAAAAATAAAGACCCCTTTCAGTTTCAGATGATCTGTAACCATTGTAACTGATTGTCACCAAAGGGATATAGTTGTAACCAGTGTAACCTAAAAATTTTAAGACCCCTTTTGGATTTAAATTACCACCATCCTTTAATTGAGAGATATATGTAACCTTTGTTACTGGATTAAATAGTCTTGTAACAGGGTTACAATTGAACATAGGTGAAAATCAGCACTAATTTCTTGCCATATATGAAAAAAAATCGGGGGGGGGGGGGGATCTAACGTCATGTCTGAGACTAAACAGATAACGCAATAATTACAAAAATAAATGCCTATTAATTGAGTATGCACTATACGTACATTTGAATGTATCTTGAAGCAATGACATGATGTTTAGTTTAGTAGTCAATATATGCCCTTCCATTTCACCCGCGCCCGCCAATATTTAACCTTTCCGTAATTTTAGAATCCCAAACCCGATATAAATCATTTGATTTATTTTTCTAAAAAAAACCCAAGTACTTTGTTGTCTTTAAGTCTTCTTTTTTTCTTAACATTATTTACATTTTCTTTATATCTTATCAATTTTCATATTACATAGTTTACATGTTAAGTATTTTGAATAGCATATGGCATTGCGTTCGGAGTACATTTTATATTAAAACTAAAAACGTGACAACTTCCGGGAAAATTTTGGTAAGCATTTGCGTTACACATCAAAGTCCAAAGTTTAATTTTATTTATGTGTGGTAGTGTTGGATTACGATTTCTTGTTTCACTGTACACATCATAATTATGACGACATCACTAGAGCTTTGGAATGGTTATCAACTTTCAGAGTTCATCTTAAACGTGTTCACCGGTATCTGAAATGAACAAAACCTTGTGATTTAGTCTCGTATCATTTTCCTTTAAGACTTTGAATTAGCAAGGTTTATATTTACCAGGAACTAGGGAAGTTTTGTATATGAAGCTTTGGGTTATCTTCATAACTGAGGAAATTCGGACGTCTGCTTACTGCTCAGGTCTTTGAGACCTATTTGGCAGGTTTTAATTTATTGATTTAAATGTAAATGTAAATTAAGATTACCTCAAGAAATCCTTTAGTATTAGTACAATGTTTTTGAATGTATGGTTCTTGAGAAGAGGACGGTGCTACATTCAAGATCATAATGCCTTTACTCATCTTTTGTGGCTAATCTATCCTCTTGCTAGGTACTAAATATCTAGCCCTTCAGGGTTGATCTCTCAACTTTCTACTTGGTATCACATTTTTATTCAAATATCTGAGAAATAAATTATTTGCATTTTCTAACAAATTCTTCAAATAAAAGCTGTATGTTTTTTAAAGAAGGTATGATTTCTCAAATTGATCTTTTTGTCACAGGAAACACTTAAAGCAAAAGTGTTATTTCAAGTAACACAAGTTTATACATGTTACTAGTGTTACCTTCCTTTTATTTTCATTACCCTTTTCTGAAAATGATGCAAGAGAATAGAGAGTAAAAATACCGTATGAACTTGAATATACATTTAGAATTTCTTTTTGGGCAATCTGAAATCCATTTGAGCAACCTGAGATCAATACCTAGTAGCGACCGGCGCAAAGCGCCGCTTGTCACTGCGAGCTCTTAAAGCAATGCCTGGGTGAAGAGAAAATTCTGACTTTGCACATTGAACCAAACAAATTTTTTTCCACAGTAACCTGTGGTCCCATAATGCTTTGCAGATTGCATCTCCCCACAAACTACATTCTTGCGGTAGCAACAAAAGTTCAACAAAACATAACATCATATTGATTTAATGAATATTGCAGAAAAAACAGTAGATTGAACATTTTTCATTAAAACTAGCACTGTTCAGGCTTCGATTTGGTAATGCAACTTACATACGATGTCAGGTGAAGTCAGAGTCTAAATGGATGTACCAAATGTCACGTGCAGTTTGAAGAGATGGATGAATTCAGTGAATAGGTATCTGCGCTCGCCCTAACGGTTGCACCGTCAACATATTAGGACTGGGTATTGACTGGAAATTTGTTGTTGTGATATACTCAGATATTTTTAACTGTATTGTGCTATGTATTGCAATATATTAAAAAGAATTAGAGTGATCTTTTCTTCTATAATTAACTTGCATTTAATATATGCAGATTGCACATGACTAAAATAAATAGCCGCACAAAAAAGATCTGATACTAATTTAATTACAGCTATGTACTGAAATGCAGCTATACCTCAGCTTTCGTCTTACTGTTTGGGATGATGGCAAATGTTTCTGACATCTAAAACTTTATATTTTATATAGAAATCCCAAGTCCAGGAATTTTGCCTGTATATCAGTACTGATATATGATCGTTTTTTTTTTTTTTTTTTTTTTTTTGTCAATGAACTGCAATACACCAGAGCATCAGTATTATTGCCCAGCCCTAATACATCGACGTAGGTTGCCCAATTGACGAGACCAGAATCTGTCAAGAGTCAAGCACTGCTTGTATGCCACATGATTGTATATTAATTCAATTTCACATATTTTTTTTTTTAGGTCTTTTTTAACATAATACACTAGTAGGCATGAGCAAGTCAGCAGGTAGAAAAAGAACAAAATCCAATGAAGTAAATGGAGCAACTAAAAGACAAGAGTCTAAAGAAGAGAAGATGTTAGACTTACTGCATGAGGAACGGAAAGAGAGGGAAAAGATTGTATTATGGCGACAGCCTGTGACAACATTACACTATTTTGTTAGAGAGTCCAGTTGTCTCATTTCAGAATTTTCCCAAAGGTATACATACCTCTAAAATATATGATTATAAAGTATTGTTAGTGACACTGTAATCTTGTCTAATGTCAATTCTTTAAATATTTTTTTAGGGATGTCAAATCGGTCAATTTTTGATAATCGGTTACTCGGACGTTTTTCCGATCGAGTACCCGGGTACTCGGTAAAAATGTAAATACAAGTTTGTTGATTTTTAATTATCAATTTGTTAAACCCCAAACCTGTTTTATCACGTTTTATGAATGCTTTATAAACATGGATTCCAACGGAAACGATTTTTGGTACTGAATTTATTTATTAAATAAACACAAATGATGCAATTAATACATCAAAAATTACAAATGGTTTACATTTCTTGTTTATGATCTATTTTATCAAAAGGAGGATAATCTGTTACGCAGGTTTGTGATGGTTAGACTTGCGCAAGAGAAGGAACGGGTGTTGTTTAGATCACTATTCTAATATTTTTTCATATGTTGGTTGTTTCCCCCGTATACACTTAACTTTCTATGGAAACTGACTTTAAACATTTCTTGGAATCTTTACTTATTTTGTTGTGGGTAGCGGCATTTCTATGCATGTCCGGTTTCGCTGCCGTATATTAACTTAATAATTTAAAAATAATTTGAAGATAATAGACCATATTAAACGATGTTCACTGAAAAACAATCATGGAAGCCATAAAAAATAGGTGAGATCAGCTGTGTACCAGGTGATTGGTCACTAATTACTGTATACACAGCCACAGGCAATAACGGGTGTTTACATGTGTAGATGATGACACGCTAATTACCCGTATGCATATATAAGTTTTTTTTTTTTTTTTTTATAAGTTTTTGATAAAATATGTACTTTGAGATAAGAAAAAATTTCACATCCAAGTAACCGAGTACGATTTTTAGTATTCGATACTCCGTTTTCGATCGAGTACCTGTTAACCGGGTACTCGTTGACATCCCTAATTTTTTTGTATAAATGCTAAAATGGTTAGCAATTATATTTAGATTTTTAAAAATGTTCTTTTAATGTTGTTTAGCTGGTGATTAGTTTATATCAGATTAGTAACCCCCCCCCCCCCCTCCCCCCCGTGTACCTTTGCCACCTACATTTTGCTTAACTATTCCAGATTATTAAAGTGGAAAAAGACCGTAGCAGTATGTGTAGTCTTATTTATACTAGCAGCAAGTGCATATAATCTTGAAGGGCCACACCAACAGGTACATGTATTATCTGTTCTTCTAAACTTTAAGTGTTTATGGAAGCAATGAGTTACTCTAAAAAAAAAAAACACTCTCAAAAAAGCAAAGTTGCAAGAAAGTAATGGAGTATACTGTATACATGCATTTGAAGTACAACTAATAGTTCAAAATTGAATCCCAGGGAATAAGTGCAATGCAGAGGACATTATTGTGGTGGGGATATTGGGTTGGACTAGGAGTGCTATCTTCTGTTGGCCTTGGTACAGGATTACACACATTCCTGTTATATTTGGTAAGCTCTAGGTTATGTGAATTTAATTGCATATGGTATGGATATGTTATCATGCTAAAAAGAGAAATGAAATTTGGATGAGAAAAGTCTGGAATGAATCAATTTGCCATTTGTTTGATTCTTACAGGGACCACATATTGCTGCAGTAACATTGGCAGCCTATGAATGTAATTCAGTAGATTTCCCAGAACCACCATATCCAAATGAGTAAGTATTACTTATCCATAGTGAGCAATGTCAAACTGATTTTAGTCTTGTGTTTGAAGTAAATTATTGTATTTCAAATTCTTCAGTTTGTATGTTTTGCATAATGGGTATCAGGATCTATTTTTAGGGCCCCGCAAGGATTTGCGGGTGCCCTATAGTAATCACTCTGTCTGTCTGTCCATCTGTCTGTCCGTCTGTCATTCTTCCGTCCACAAATTTCCTGTTTTTTCTAATAACTTTTTTTGTAGTTGACCAATTAAGTTCAAATTTGGTATGTTGGTTGAAGAGGCAGTAAGACATATTTTGATGCTAAGTTTGGTTCTCTATGTCATCCAGTTTGGAGCTGGGGTGATGGGGTTGATTCCTTAACTTTACATTGGAATGAATGCCAAGGCAAAGAGAGATAACTGCTGAGAATGTTCCAATTGTAAACTATGAAAGCTGCAACTAGTCCCATGGGATTAATTAACTTTCCTCTTGAAGAAAATCCAAAGCATTATCTGTTTCTGTCAAATTGAGATTAATTAACACCTCTGTCTGCAAATGAAGTTTATTTTGAAGTTAAGGTCAATTCTGAATGATGTTTACATTCTCTGAAATGTGGATTTAAATAATGTTCATACTTTATTTTGGTAAAATATACAATGAGTTATGATTTTATCGAATTCTAAAAACAAGATATACATAAAGATGTTTTTTTTTTTATTTTTTTTTTTTTATTTATTTATTCATTTTATTTATTTTTTTTTTTGCCTGCCATTGTAAATTCAAGAATACTATTAATTTTAATGGGTAGTCCAATAATAAACTCATTCTATCATTACTGAGAGAGTTCTTATTGTAAACTTGGAAGAAAAGGATAAGAGAGCAGTACAATTAATCCCTTGGGATTAATTATCTTGTCTTGGGCAGAAAATTTTCCAGGCTTACCTTTATTTGTCACTTTAAGATAAATTAACCTTTGTCTGCAACTGATGTTTGTTTTGAAGTTAAGGTCAAGCCTGGGTGATATTTGAAAACACATGCTTTATTCTTGTTTGAATATACATTTAACTGAGTTATTATAGATATGATGTGTTTTACTGCCTTATGTAAATACAGGGATGCTCTTTACAGGTTGTTGGATATTTAGGAATTATCTTTAAATTTTAATTTTATAAATACAGTTGTTATTGCATATTCTTCTTCATATATTTTTAAATGTTTGTAATCAATTAAAATTCTTATTCTGTAAGCTGCACTCTTATATTTCTACCCCTCGGTGGGGCCCTTGCTGACTGGTCAGTTTTCTAGTTGTCATTACATGTGTGTAATTGACTAATTGTTATATGATTAGGAAGATATCTCAGAAATGTCCCATAGAGGTGTAAGCAGTCTCTAGTTATAAAGAAAAACAATCAAGTCTGTACATGTAACTCTCACCAAAATGCATGAGTCAACTGACATTCTTGAATAGTCTTTAGGTTGTCATGTCCTCTTCATGTAGTGTTTTTGTTCATGATGTATTCCTATTGATTTCTTTTCAGTATTATTTGTCCTGACAAAGTCACCAGTGGCAATGTGATAACAATGTGGACAATAATAAGTAAAGTTCGAATAGAAGCCATAATGTGGGTAAGTGTGTACAACCTTCTCAGACATAATGAACAAATGTATGACAGCTTGTATTGGAGGCAGCAATATCTAAAGGGTCTTTAATAACTGAAATTCAAATTCCTTATTAAAGAAATTCTTTTTATTGATAAAGAGAAAGGTTTAAAATGTCAAGTGCCTGTGTGAATGACTGAAAATTTTGTAGTTTTGATCATTCTTGCATTGATTCTATATTTGCAGACATAACCCCTGATAACTAGAATATATGCTTGTATTCTCATCTACAGGGTGCAGGTACAGCTATTGGCGAACTCCCCCCATACTTCATGGCCCGTGCGGCTCGCCTGTCTGGGGCAGATCTTGATAGTGATGACTTTGAGGAGATTGAGGAACTTCTTCACGAGAAACAGAGCCATCCAGAGGAAATAGTAATACAACTTTTATAACATTTAAATCTGGTTTCAGAAATGGAGGGAATGAATAGGAGTTGATTATCATTGATAATTAAGAAAGTACAGTTTTGTTTTTTTTTTTGTTTTGGCATTTTTTTTTATCATTTAAGCAAAATGGAATAAACAAATTTTTGAAAAATATGATTTGGTGAAAAGAAATTGTTATTTTTCATACCTAGAGCAACTATGCTTCTTTTCATATTGGTATTAGCATAAATGCATTGTTTCTTGAATGGCTTTGCTCTAAAAATCAATTTTCTTAGGCTAAATATTACAGAAAGGTATAACCATGTGCTTGACTTCTTGATGTTTTCTCCTGCCATTTCCTTAAATGTCTTTTTATCAATACATGTTATTAGTAACTACCCATATTTTTTTAATGGAATCTGTTCTTTGCTCTTTTTCTCTAATTTTAAAGATCATGTACTGGCATCACTAGTCCTTCAGAATCTGCTCCCCCCCCCCCCCCCCAACCCCTTTGGAAATGTTCATTTGATCCCAGGATTGTTTTTTGTTTAATTTTTTTTCCTTTTTAATATTAAAATAGAAGCAGCTTAAATTGATTTCAAATGCTAGAAGTTCTGTTGCTGAACACTAGAAATTTGTGAAGTTTACTGATAATTTAATATGCATACTATGGTAATTCTTTCTGTTAAATCCTTCAGTGTAGAGTGTATATGTCATTGCTGCTTGGGCATGACTTTTATTAGCAGAATTTCAGCTGCAATTGTATGAGAAATGTAGTCATTTCCATTTGTGCTGCTGTCAATGTTTCATTATTTTTTCAAAGGGATTCCTTGAGAGAGCCAAAATTGGTGTGCATAATCTAGTCCAGAAAGTTGGCTTCTTTGGGATTTTAGCATGTGCATCTGTAAGTTTTACTAAAGTGCAACAAAAGGTATGGTAAAGTAAATTTGATTTGTACATTTTGTTCAAAATACAATGTAAGAAAGGTACACAAGTCTAAAAAAAAAATACATCAATTAAGTATTTTGAAAACCAGTTTACATTTATGAGAATTGATGTTTTTGATTTTGACAGATCCCTAATCCCCTGTTTGACTTGGCTGGTATAACTTGTGGGCATTTTCTCATTCCATTCTGGACTTTCTTTGGCGCCACCCTTATAGGAAAAGCAATTATAAAAATGCATATACAGGTAAATTTTAAACACACAGTTTACTAAGCAAAATACAAGTAAGCACAAGTAAGGTTTAGTCTGTTTTGATAATTATATCATGACATCAGAGCTGAAGTTGAAAATTAATGATTCGAAACTTATTTGTTTTTGTTTATTTCTTTTTTAATGTTGACTTTTTGAAAATATGTTCTTTTGAATACCACAGATCAATGCAAGTTCTAGACTTATTATTGCACTTTTTCTGTTTTCCAGAAATTCTTCGTAATATTCATATTTAGTCATCATCACGTAGAACAACTTGTCAAACTCATAGGGTAAGAGGCAAACATCAGAAAGATTTTAGAAGAAGCAAAAACATATACATGTATATCACTTTACACAAAATACATGTATCTAGCATATTTTGAACATTTCGCTTTAAATTTTCTGTCAAAATAGACACAAATAATGTTGTTTCAATAAGTTCTATGTATTGAATATGGTCCTTATTACTAAAGGATGTCATGACTCTTAATGGCATGTCTCTGTTTCCCAGGAATCTTAATGATACAATTATTTTAAACTAAAAACAGCTGTTGATTATTCCTTCTGTTGTTTATAAGGTTGATTCCAAGATATGGGGAATCTCTCCAGACACCATTTAAGGATTATCTTGAGGTACAGAAGAAGAAATTACACCACAAAGTGGGTTCTAACATTCCAGGGGTATGTATTATATACTTGTACTGAAGTACTTGTAATTTTTTTCCAGTTGGTCATAATTCAGCCCAATCACAATCTTTCTTCATTATACAGGTAGAAAATTACACGGATTTCTTGATTGCTATATTATGTCTTAGATGCACTTTAAGTATGCCAGAACAAATTTCCACTGAAAATTTGTGACAACGTACACTGTGTAAATTAATCCCCCGTGGAAAAAAGTATATCTACAGTATTCTTAGAGTCAAGAATTTAGAAGCTTTCATTTAATCTGGATATCTGTCCTTTTTTCACTGTCAGTATTTCACTTGATATTCACTAATTACATATACCCAAGTAATATGAGAATAGATAAAGACAGTCACTATATGTATAGATAGTCTGAGTCAAAAAGTCGAGTTAAATGGCATGTCTAATTTCTGAGGTCACTTGTAGATTTCATAGTAAATTGACCATAGTTAAAGATATACACGCTATAACTTGCGTCAGTTAAAAATAAAGTTGGAAATTTATTTATTTTGTTTACCAAATAAAGTTACAAAAATATTGTAAATTACACAATTGGAAATGAACACATTATAAAGATCTCAAATTATACATAATTATTTATTATCCTACTAGGAAAGTAATGCTATATTTAAATTCATGCATCATGTGACACTGTCGCTACTTTTAGATTGATAAACAAAAATGGCGGCAAGAAAATGAGGAAGGCCATTTGGTATACAAAATAGCTTTTGACATGGATGGCATACATTTTTTGTTTAAAGATACTTATCTTTGAAAACAACCATTATTAACCATCAACTCTGTAATGACAGATATTATCTTTTATTCAAAATAGTAGTCAAAATGCAACGTACCTCGTTGTCTATGATTTCCCTCGGACATGCGTGTCTATATACTGTTTACGCACTTCCTTCATCAATATTCATGAATAGGCTGAATTCTTAATTGCAGATCTTGCTTAATTGTTTTGTAATTACAATGACTTATTTAGTAAAACTTTGTGGAAAGTAATTATTTTTTATTACACATCATGTTTCTCAAATCATTTAATCATTTTGTTTCACATAAAAAATCGCGTTTATATAGCGTGTATATCTTTAACTCATACATCAAATGTGACAAGCCTGTTTATTAGTGTACTATTTTATTGATAAATAACTCTATTGTTCATTTGTCTCTTTTTCAATTACAGGAATCTAATCTCCTAAGCTGGATATTTGAGAAAGTGGTCATTGTAATGGTAGCCTATTTTCTGCTCTCCATTCTAAACTCAATGGCACAAAAGTACCACAAGAGACTCTGCAAAACAAAGCACAAGAAATACCAACATTAAAGAATGCTTTCACTAGATATTCAAAATCTCTGCCTTCTACAGACCTCTGAGTTAGGAATTTAGTAATTTATTATTATTAGACTTTTTTTGTCATTTTTTTTCATTTCATATTTTCATTGCCTTTGTAACATAAAGAAAAAAATTTTGAAAACAAACGTTTACAGGTTGGATCTCATTTTTAAAATTTACCTCTATGTAAAATATGTTTCTAATTGCAAGTTTTAAAATATTTTCAGCATATTGCAAAAATGGCAAAAAAAATTTTTATTGTATTCAAGAATTTTATTGTGTTTCCATACAAATATGTCTGTAAATATAAAGGTAGATGAAACTACAGGAATCTTAAAAATTCTTCAAAATTGATTGATTAAGATTATTAGCCAAAGTAAATAAGTTTATGTACTAGAGAGTCAACTTTTATAAGCAGTAAAAGGTTCTGTTTTTCAATGTGGTGCTTTTGCAATGTAATGTTAGTTTATTTAAAGACTATATAGATATGATTTAAATATGATTTAGTTTATATCAGAAATTTAAAAATGAATTCTTCAAACAAATTTAGTTACATTGTACATGGTTGTGATATTCATTGGTAAGAAAGATCAAATTTATCCTTGTTTAAAAATCTTTTTATAGCTGACCAGATATGTAATATAGGCAAAGGATGACTGCACTTAAAGCCAGGTTTTAGGGTCTTTTTTGGTTGGTTCTGTTGCTTTTATATCTTAACCTAATTTCAATTGTGAATTGTGAATTTGAAACGAAATCTAAATGTTTAAATGATTTTAGACTGTGATACAATTAAATAATTCTGTTTTTTCCTTACTGCTTTCCATATATGGAGAATTTACATTTACCTGCCCTTGATTGAACATTAGGCTGATAAAAATGTACATGAGAGTTGGAGCTAACATTGTAGAATGGGTCTAAAATTAGACTAGCATATTACAATCCTTGGTTACATAGAGAGAGAGAGTGCATATATTAACGAAGTTTTTTTTTTCCTTTCAAACTATTGAGTACATATTTGTCTGTTAATCTCCCTTTGACACTTCTTTAGTAATGCAAATTTACAACTAATTTTTAAATGGAGAACAATAGACAAACATGGGCTGACTATATATAAAGTCAGTAAAACATCGGGCATCCTCATTATCGTATGGAGATTCAAGAAATTATGATGACCCCGCCTATAAAAACAGATTTGCCTGTCGTAAATAAGTTTTATTTAATGTAATAAAGTAAAGTTGCAGGTTGGATATTGACCATTCCTGCAATTAAAAGAAAAATGCTCATTTAGAAATTTTTTGCATGTCCTTAAGTGTAGTCATCCTTTATGGCCATTGTAATTTTAGAGCTTTTCAGACTTTACTTAACTAAATACAAACCTTGTGACACAAATACATATCTGAATAAATAAAAAAAATCTTTTGAGTTGTAGGTAGATTTAGTGTGTTTTGATGATGCAATTAAACCATTTTTAGTCAGTATACATCTACATGTATATGTTCATACATGTAAATTTGTACAGTATGTGTTAGTCATTTTTGCAAGAGGCTTGGGTTTCTTAATTCATTAGTTCTTCCCCAGTCAGGAGTAACATACCAAATGAAAAAAAAATCTGTACATTGTATCTCTATAAACCCATAGATTATTTGAAGGTGAATTGATTTTTTTTTTTGAGTTTTTTTTAAAATCTGTATGCATTAGCTGCAATAATGTTGTCTTTTTCATTTTTTTTAAATCAGAGAGGGCTACATTGCGGCTGTATTTTCCTCTCCTTGATTAGCAAAATGCATGAAAATCAAGATTTTATTTCCCTGAAGTCATGTAGATTAAACATTCCTTTCTGTAATAAGTATAATTACAGAGACTCTCTATGGTGAGTAGGATTATGTCAGAGTATGTCATCCTTAACAATACATTTATTCAATATCATAGCATTCTCAGTCTCTTGTAGTAAAAAAAAACTATTTGTATGTGTAAAGAAGGGTGATATTATTTAATATGTTTTTATAAAACTCGAACAATAAAGTGAATTTTATGGACTTTCATTAGGATCTTGTTATATCTATAAATCAGGATGTAAGGTCTCATTATAGAGGCTGGCTGGACAGGTGTTGAGTCTTTGACTCTAAACTTTTAACAGCTTATGTTATAATCAATGTAAATAAAACATGAATGGATTTGACTGTGATTTAATGTTTGAGTGGAGTTACACTGGAGTAACACAACAACATCTTGTTTTATACAAATTTCACAGTCATTTGATAGTTATTCCACCAGTTAAATACTGTATAGAGTCATGCTACAGTGTATTTCTCTTTGCTTCGTTAGTATACATGCCTGATTTAATAGAAATGATGTGAAGGGGATGTTTCTTGCAGATGAAAAGTCGTATATGTGTGAGTGATGTAGTCAAATACCTACATAGGGAAGGTCTTAAACTCCAACAAATTCACAACAAAAATGACAGAAGTATATTTTAGGACATAGGTACTTCTTTTGAACTTTATTTTCTTGTTTCCTGCATACTTGAAAAGTTCCAATGATTACATAACGTTTGAGCAACTTTTATAATCTAATAGATACTGTAAACCTCTTCTAAAACAAATTTAGAGGAAATACCAGCAATATATACATGTAGATGAAACTACATGAATCGTTAAAATTCTGCACAATTGATGATAAAACATTATTAGCCATTTAGGTGCTAGGGATTCAACTTTTATTAAAAGGTTCTGTTTTTTAATGTGGTGCTTTTGTAATGTAACGGCAGCTTCCCCCCTTTTTTCTGAGTATAGCATTTTGCTATTAATAGTAAATTTTCCTTTAGATGCCGCCCCCCCCCCCCCTTTCACCCGGACCACACATGCACACACTCATTGTTGCAGTAAGATCGAGTATTGGCAAATTCCAGTGTTTGGACAGTTCATTAGTTTTTTGTTTTGTTTGTTTTTTTCAGATTATTTGGGGAAGTTGTCCCCCCCCCCCCCTGGACGTTTTCTCTCTTTTCTTTTCTTTTTTTTTTCTTTTTTTTTGAAACCGTTGCTATAGGGCCTGTTTAAGACTGCTTATTTTAACAGTTATGATGTAACATTTCACATAATTGATAAACAAATATCAAATAATAAGCTTTCGATCTCGATGCAACAGAATCAAAATTTAACTTCATTTTACAATGCTAAAAAATCAGTAAATAAAACCAAACTGACAAATGACTAAACTGTTTTAAAAAATTCCCCAAGCGAGGATCGAACCGAAACTTCTAGATTCCTCGCCTTCATGGACAGGTATCATGTACCATTGTGTTATCGTCGCTACGTACAGAATTAGGGGTTTTAAGGACAGATGATACAAACAATTTTTTTCTTTGGAGAAGACTTCATGTCATGTCACAGTTTTAGAAAAGTGGATAATTCTTTGAATTTTTCTCCTTAGACTTGCAGAATGAAATATCTTCCATATTTCCCCCCAAAAATACACAACTAGAGTAATCATGGAAAAATTGTTTAATCTTCATTCAGTTACCCTTTTTTTTCTTCAGAAATGTTTCTAAAGGAGCACAGAGTGAACTGATATTACATTTACTCAATAACCTGTTGTATTTTCTTGCAAAAAAGAAATGACATTGGAAAATATTAGTTGCATGATACTTCAATAAATTACAAATATGGACAAATCACACTCAGTAAAGGTTTACAGATGAAAATAAATTTCAGAATATGTTAGCATAGTGCTAAAAGTGTAATATAAACTTTTAAAAAATATACCAAGCCAGGTGAATTTTATGAGGAAAAGCAAAATGGTAAAAATCAGCCTAAATCACATAGCTGATTTTTACCGTTTGGCTTTTCCTCATAAAATTCACCTGGCTTGGTGTATTTTTTCAAAGTTTATATTACACTTTTAGCACTATGCTAACGTATTCTGAAATTTATTTTCATCCGTAAACCTTTATTGAGTGTGATTTGTCCATATTTGTAATTTATTGAAGTATCAACTAATATTTTCCAAGTGTCAATGTTTCTTTTTTGCAAGAAAAGACGACAGATTATTGAGTAAATGTAATATCAGTTCACTCTGTGCTCCTTTAGAAACATTTCTGAAGAAAAAAGAGGGTAACTGCATGAAGATTAAACAATTTTTCCATGATTACTCTAGTTGTGTATTTTTGGAGGGAAATATGGAAGATATTTCATTCTGCAAGTCTAAGGAGAAAAAATCAAAGAATTATCCACTTTTCTAAAACTGTGACATGATATGAAGTCTTCTCCAAAGAAAAAATTGTTTGTAACATATGTCCTTGAACAAATGAAGCAGAGCGTTTATAAAAGGTGATTTGGTTTTGAAAGGTTATTTTTATGGTCTCTAGGTCTTCTCTCCGTTTTTTAGAAATATTTGCTCGTTTCTTTGAGCTTTAATGTTTGAAAATTGTGGAGCAATGACCCAGTTTTAGCAAATTTATTTTAAAACTCTGTAAAAATGTTACATTTTGTACCAAATGACTCATCTAATCATATTTCATTCAATGCATATTTTAGCAGATCAAAAGACAATATCGGGAAAAAAATCTCAAGGACCCGATTCTTCAATAAAACGCTAAAATGTCATGTTTCGCAACAATGAAATTTTCCACTGTTCAAGTGCGCCCAGATTCCTGCCGAAGAATCCAAATCAAAAGCGCCCTCGTCCTTTTATTCATATTATTTACTCAATCCAATCTTGGATATTTATGTGTATAATTGTGAACTTCGTATTTTACATCTTATATGCACATTATATATAAGATAATAAAGCTGTACGTGTCCTCCAAACAGTGTATTGTTGTTGATTCTACTTTCATTTGAAATTAATGAATGGATTTAAGAACCCTCTATATACTGCACATGAAAGAGTTCTAACTTTGAAACTTTTATTTTCACTAAAGCCCCCACATGGGGTATGTTAGTACAATAAGAGTTTAACAATTGAACAAATCAACATGTGAACAGTTAACATAATGAACCATAAAAAGAACTTTGATATGGACAGTACTGACGATTGTATAAAAAAATCGTTTAATGTTTACATTGCAGGAAGTTCAGGCATGAAATAATTTAAGAACAGTTTTACAAAACTTAGCTAAACCTATTAGTTCATATAT